CTTTACAAGCAGTTTGAAAGCCCAAATCTATCAGCTTGGCTTTGAATGCCTTCTTTTGCTAGCCCAGCCTACCTGTCCACCCCTCACCATTACCTCCCAGGTACCCAGCATATTCCGGTCACTGGGTTGCTCATTATTCACAAGACCACCATACTCTCTCCCATCTTTATGGCTTTGCTTTTACAGTTTCTTCTACCCATCAAAGATCTGGCTCTCCCCAAGCCCTAAATCAAATGCTACATCACCTGGGAATAAAGCCTTTACTGATGTTTCCATCGACATCAGCCTGCTCATATTCCACCAGACTTTTTATCCTTCCTTTACTTTGTCATGGGGAACTATCTACTTTGTATCAGTTATATGTTCATGTGACTGTCTCCCTCAGTAGACCATGGGATTCTTAAGTAGTGAAGCAGGGCCACTGAGATGTACATCCCCAAGAAAAACAAGATAACACTAAAGTCTAGGTCAGAGGCTGGAAAATGTTTTCTGTAAAGAGCCATATGGTATTTTAGGCTTTGTGGCCATTTGGTTTCTGTCACAACTACTCTCAACTGTGCCATTTTAGTGCAAAAGTGTCCATAGACAATATGTAAATGAATGAATATGGCTGTCTTCCAATAAATATTTATGAAACGGGCAGTGGACTGGATTTGATCCATGGGCTATAATTTGCTGCTCCATAATCTATGTGAATGATACTTTCTGTAGCACAGCATGAGTGGGGGTCCCCTGAAGTATAATCTGGGAAGTCCTGGAGAGAATTAATATACTTTTCAGTCATCTATGTATCTTTTGCCCCATCTCCCACCAGCACCTAGTACAGCTTTCCATGTTGTAGGCTCTCAATGTTTGTTTTTGTTTTTCTGAATTAAATATGCCTGAAAAGTTACCAACTTAGTAAATCATAACAACATTTTGAGAGCTTAACTAACTTTTAAAACTTTCTTGCCTTCGCCCACTTTTGAATGGGATATGTTCTTCACATGTACCCCCAAACCTAAAATGCAATAAAAAATAAAATTAAAAAGAAAACTATCTTGCAAGTTTGTAGTAAAGTAGTTCAAGAAGGAATCATGTAAGCCCAAGAATGATAAAAGGAATGTACAAGGGATGATGTAAGCTCAAAACATCTAAGGATTAGCAGCTGAAAGGAGAGGCTCTGACAACAGAGCTGGGTAAAAGCAAAAAAAAACCATTTCAGTTCTGAGAAAGCAGCACCAAGGAACACAACATCATATGTAATAGATGTCTCAGAATACCCTCTAAATCCATGTGAATAATGCATTTGATGCCAGCACTTCAATGCTAGAAAGATGTTCATAATTTGGAGGAAACTCAGAGGCCAAGAAAAATGATTAAGAGACTGGAAGGACTCATTTATGAGCAGCTATAAAAGAGCCAAATATGAGCTTGGTCTGCTGACTGCTAGAAGATGGGAAAAAGGTGTACAAATTACTGAATGCTGTAAACACCAGGAGGGGAAGGAATGATGGTCAGCTCTATTGTACTTAGCTCTTGGTATGCACATATCTCAGGCATTAACACATTCCTTTCATTATTGGGTCTTAAAACATTTATGTGCCATCTGAATAATATATAACTGGAAATGTGATTGGTAATGTTCTATAATTACAGGAAAATAGGATTGCTCCAGAAGAGCAAATATAAGACAAACTATTGTTTATTAAGGAAAAAAATGTTTCAGGAATTTTAGGTGGGCTGACAGAATAAAAACTTACTAATAGTTCACTCTTAGAAGTATGGAATATATACAATTGTGAGTAATAGTATATCATTCACAATTGTTTAAAATAAAGCACAAAAATAGATATTTCCCTCCCTTGCTCCCTTCCTCCCTCCCTCCCTCCCTTCTTTCCTTCCTTCTGTTTCATTCAATCATTCAGTTATTCAACCTTCAGCCCATCTATCCACCATTGATCCATCTACCACATATTTATCCACCATTCCATCTATCCATCCCACATAACTACTGCCTACTCACTATTTGCTAGGTCCTGTGCTGGTGATACATAGTAACACCAGTACAGGGCCTAAACTAAAAACAAAAACTAAAAAATATACTTAGTCTCAGAGTAGGGTCAGTGAATACTTTAAAATATAATTGGTTAGGCACAGTGGCCCACACCTCTAATTCCAGCACTTTGGGAGGCCGAGGCAGTCAGCTCATTTGAGGTCAGGAGTTCGAGACCAGCCTGGCCAACATGATAAATCCCTGTCTCTACTAAAAAATACATATGCTATCCAGGTGTGGTGGCACATGCCTGTAATCCTAGCTACTTGGGAGGCTGAGGCAGGAGAATAATTTGAACTTGGGAGGCTGAGGTTGCAGGGAGATGAGATCACGCCATGGCACTCCAGCCTGGGAGACAATGCAAGACACCATCTCAAAAAATACACACACACACACACACACACACACACACACACACACAGTTGTAAGTTGAGTGAGATGAGGTTCATCTTCCATCACAAGTAAAAAGTGGGCTAAGAAGGAACAGATAGGTTCCATAAAGAGTGATAAAGGAACAAAGAAACATGGTCCTTAACTCAAATGAGAGAGAGGGGAAAGGTTGGGGACACTTCCCAGAAGAATTGATATCTGAGCTAAGTCCTAAAGAATTCTGAGGAGTCTATTAACCAGAAAGAGTGGGAATAAGCATCCTAGGTAGGAAGAATGATGTGTTTAAAGGACTGGAGATAACAAAGTGCTAGATCATTTTGTCACAACACATGTTGAACTGACACAAGTACTTCAGATTGTTTTAGACAAATAGTATAAGGCAGATGGTGATCTTAAAAACCGTAATTAGAATATATTATAACTGTGGGTGGGTTTTATTATCCTTACTAACTTTTGCCTCCCAAAGTTTCTCCACTAACAAAATCACAGGCTTATATGGCCAAATAATTGCATTTATGTAGCACTTACTCTGTTTTTGGAACTATTTTAAAGTCTTTATATATAGTAAGTGATTTTATCCACTTAACAACTCCATGTGGTAGGTACCATTATTGTTCCTATTTTAAATATAAAGAATAGAGGCAGAGAAACTGAGTTAAACAGATAGTAGCACAGCAGCATTTGTTACTGGAGCATCTTGCTCCAGGACCTCTGCATTTATGTCCACTGTGCTGCTGCTGCAAACCTTCTAATTCAAGAGCCTATTTTCGTATCTTTACCTCTGTAACCCACCTAAAAGGTGATGCAACAAATAATCAGGGACACAGTCAAATATTTTGGGATAAGAATGTTTACAGCAGCAAAATTTATAGTCATAAAATATAAAATAACCTATATGTCCTACAATGTGGAATGTTTAATCATGGTATAGATCATTAAGCAAGTATTTTAAATTGTGATCCAGAAATATATAACATGGGAAATGCTCAGTATAAAGGTCAAAGGGAAATGCAAAGAAACAAATTATGATCCTAGCAATGTGTTTGTGTGTGTTCAGAAAGGAAATCCACTAGTCAGACTGAGTTCCAATTCCAATCTTGACTCTGTCATTTATTTCTTTTGTGACTTTTGGTAATAATTTTACCCCTCTGTACCCCAGTTTTCTTATCGGAAAATTGGGATGAGTTGTTGTAAGGGTTAAAAAATTCACACATGTAAAATGCTTAAAATGCTGGCAAGCACTTGATAGCTATCAAAATATAGGAAACCCTATTTAAAAATTAGAACTGGATAGTACATATTCAGATGGCAGTTTAATATTCTTTGTAGTCTAGGAGCCAATATTTTATGACTTCATCCAATTACTTTTCCCTTTTACACTTGAATGTAAGTCGAATGAGATGAGGGGTATTTTCCATTGCAAGTAAAAAGTATTTGCTTTCAGAATCTACTTTGTCAAATTGTTAAGACTTACTAAACACTTAAGCAAACACTGAAGGGTTATCAAAGTTTTATTTTTAGCCAGATACCTTCTCAAGGCTAGATTCCTGATGTTTTACTTTGGTTGAATACTCTTAAATTGTGAGGATTTGAAACTATTTAAAATTGTGTTTTCGCCGGGCGCGGTGGCTCAAGCCTGTAATCCCAGCACTTTGGGAGGCCGAGGCGGGTGGATCACGAGGTCGAGAGATCGAGACCATCCTGGTCAACATGGTGAAACCCCATCTCTACTAAAAGTGCAAAAAATTAGCTGGGCATGGTGGCACGTGCCTGTAATCCCAGCTACTCAGGAGGCTGAGGCAGGAGAATTGCCTGAACCCAGGAGGCGGAGGTTGCGGTGAGCCGAGATTGCGCCATTGCACTCCAGCCTGGGTAACAAGAGCGAAACTCCGTCTCAAAATAAATAAATAAATAAATAAATAAATAAATAAATAAATAAAAAAAATTGTGTTTTCATGTCAGTTAGGATCAGTAAATTGAAGAAAATTACAAATTGGCTTTTGAAGAGCCTAAGGCCATAGTTTATTTCTCATCCATGTTTTGAAATTATCTTAATTATATTGGTTTTAAATATTAATTTAAAAAATAGAAGGAAGTGAGCAGTTTTAATAATAGGACCTATTTTGCCTCAAAGTTTTTTCTTTTTTAAGAGAATAATTTATTATTTTTAATTGACAAGTAAGGATTGTATATATTTATGATGTACAATTTATATTTCAATATATGAACATATCATGGAATGTCTAAATTGAGCTGCTTAATATATCCATTATTTCACATATTTATTTGTGGTGAGAACACTTAAAATCTACCCTCATCAAGGAAATTCTTGAAGTCATCTTTGGAGCTGGTCTCAGGAATAAAGCTACTGGTTCAGGGGCATATGACTTTCATTGCTTTGCCCTGAATCTTCAAAGTCAAATCAATGGCTTAAGCACTTTCTTAAGAAAACACTGGAAAATCTTTGACCAAGAAATGAGGTTATTTTGCTGCTCACACCATTAGGAATCTGGTTTCCTGGCAAGCTTTTATAGCCTCTTTCTCTCTTTTTCTTTCTTCTCTCTCTGTCTCTCAGGTCTCCTATGTAAAGGCGATTGACATCTGGATGGCGGTGTGCCTTCTGTTTGTGTTTGCTGCCTTACTGGAATATGCAGCAGTGAACTTTGTCTCCAGGCAACACAAGGAGTTCCTGCGTCTCCGAAGGAGACAGAAGAGGCAGAATAAGGTACGATTGGCCCTCAGTTCAGACAATGTAGAGCTTGAGTTGGTTTGCCAGGCAATGTCATTGAGAAAACAGAAGAGCACACAAATTAGCAAGAAGCCAAGTTTAATTATTGTTCTGATTTGTCCTACTACACTGACACAGTGCTCAGCTTCGGCCTTTAAAATTGGGGAGGTTTGTCAGATTCAGCAAATAAAAATACATGTCATGGAGTTAAACTGGAATTTCAGATAACAACAATTTTTAATATAAGCACATCCTAAATATTGCATGGGACATACTTATACTAAAAATTGTTTATCTGAAATTCAGATTTAACTTGGCTCCCTATATCTTATCCGGCAACTCTAATTGGGGATATATACTCCATTTCACCAAGTTATTTTAAAATCCTGGTTCTTCTGAATATTGACTATGTGTGTGTATGTGTGTGTGTGTGTGTGTGTGTGTGTGTATTTGACTGTGACTGTGTGTGCACATCACTGATTTGATTGACTTTTTTCATCAATTGCTCTGCCTTTATGTAAATAATGCTGTGCCCATGTAGTCTGCAACTTGATAAATCCAGTGAGACTGAGCTCATTATTTCAACTTAAACTTTAGTGAAGAATCCTAAGCTTTACACTGTCCAGAGACTTGAGGTTTGAAATGCAGAGCTCAAGATCTCCAGTCTAGTGCTTCTCAAACTTACCTACACATTAGAATTGCCTGGGGATATTTTAAAAATCCCAAGCCTTAGGCACACTTTACACAATTAAATCTCAGTCTTAGGAGGGGCACCCACCTCAGTATTTCTGCAGCTCCCCAGGCAATTCTGGTGTGCAGACATGTTTGGAAAGCACTGCTCTGGTTTATAACCCAATGTCATAGAGGCTATCAAAAGACTTGCACCTGTTTTCCATTTGAAACTCTGGGAGAGAATCACGCCCTTTGATATGGAGAATGTTACCTCCTGTAACAATATTGCTTGAGAACTAAAGTTAAAATTTTATGTACAGTAGAGAGAGAGATTTTTCAAAATCTGTTCCAAAAAATATTTGAAAAATTAAACCTGTTAGTGAAGTAATAGTTACATGCTACTCTGTTGGAATGAAAACAAAAATGTTTCAGTCACTATTAATGCTGCAAATAACTAGATGTAAAGCTGAATATTTGTTGTGAGTTAGACATTGCTTATATTGAGTTTCTGTGTGTATGAGCTGAGTTCTGACTGCATCTACTAAAAGGTTTCCTGCACATACTCTGGGCTGGAAGAGATAAATCTATCCTGTTGGCTGCCCTGTCTCGCTCTTCATTACCTCTCAGGAACATTTTGTCCTGCCATAGATAAGGAAAACAAGTGAAGAAACACAAATATCCTCTTTGCTGTACATTACCTTTTAATATTGTGCCTTTCTCAATTTTCTCCTTACTTCCTCCCTGTTGGTGCTAACGTTTCTTTAATCACATTCACAGAAGTCGAGCACACAGCAGCACAATTTCAGGATCACTTGTGCCACACAGAAAATATTCTTATATTATGATGGTATTTTAACACAAAATAGTATAGAGTTAAAAGAACTCATACTGCAACTGCCTATTGGTCAGTGGATGGTTTAAGTCCTTCAACAACTTCTTTTACATACAGTAATATTGCCCTGGTTTCCCAAACTTACCTTATCATAATAAGATTCACGTAGGACCCTTGTGAAACATACTAATTATCAGTAAAATTCCTTTCAGATGTTGATTTATAAGGTTGGGTAGAATACAGGAATCTGTACTCTTAATAAGCACTCTAGGTGATTCTTACAATGAGATAAATTTAAGAAACACTATCCTGGCTTACTGACTGTATGCTCTTCTAGACCAGATATTAAAAATGGGTTTCATTTTGCTTCCCAATTCTAAATAATTGGTAGGGTATTTTTGAAATGCTGTGTGAAGAATTCTTAGATTGTATCTGGGCTCTGTGGGAATGACATCTGTGATTAATTAGCAATGTCTTGCATTACATAATCAGACTACTAACACAGGTTAAATATATGTATTCATTCAACAGATGTTTATTGAGCACCTACTATGCTTAGACATGGAAATCTGGGAATACAGTAGAGAAGGAGAGAGATAAAGAAGTAGAAAATGAGGTTGAAGAGTAGGTGATTTTAGATTCATTTGCAGGCCAGTATAACAGATTGTATTTTACTCTGATTGGAATCCACTAATTAGTTTCAATACAGAAAATATGCTATTGAGTGCATAGCAGCAGATAAGTTAGGAGGCTACTGTAGAAATATAGGTGGATATGTTGATGGCTTGTCTTATGGTATTAGTCATCAGAATGAAGGAGAATGAAGGAAAGTGGTTAGGTTCAGGTTTCTTTCATTTGTTTCACAAAAATTTATTTACTTCTTACTATGTGCCAGGTACTGTCTAAACCCTTAGAATACATTGGTTCAAAGGAGAGAAAAAAACACAACTTTTTGATGAAACTTACATTCTAGTGGTTATGCTTTGGAGGTAAAACCAATAGGTCATGCTAATGTATTTTATGTGAAGAGGTAAGAAAATGAAAGAAATTGAATATGACTCAAAGATTTTTGGCTTGAACAACTGGATAAGTAGTGTTACCATTTATTCAGATAGGGACTATTGTGACAAGCACAGATGTGGGGTGGAACTCAACTCATATTTTTATGCTCTTAAGTTCAGATGCCCATGAGACATCTCAGGAAAGTTGGCAAGTGATTAGATAGAAATATATGCTCAAGAAAGGAATGAAATCCGGAAATGTATATTTGGAAGTGACCAGCAAATAGATACTGTTTTAAATCCGCAAAACTAGGTGAGATTACACATTAAGATAATAGAAACAAAAAAGCTCTGAGAATGGAGCATTACATCATTGAGAAAGCCTATCTAGAATGGAATGGGCAGTAAAAGGAACAAAGGAAATGGTGGCAAACTTTAGGTATCACTTGCAATTGCCTTTACTGTGCAGTGGAACATAGAATATGCTATGGAATAAAATGTGTACTCTTGGGGGATTTTGTTTTTCCAAAATAGAAGATAAAAGAATGCATTTGATAAAGGGAAGACTCATGAAAAGGGAGGCATTCACACTGCAGTGAAAGGAGAACATTATTTCAAGGACAAATGTCTTGAGAAAGTAAGAAAAAATACAATTCAAAGCAAAGGGTCAGGGTTGGCTTTACATGGAGACAATTATTTCATCCATTTTAATAATGACTTAAATTATTGCCAATTCATAGATGAAGATACTAAAGCACAAAGAGGTTAAATAGCTTATTCATTCTCATGAGTCAGGAAGGCATAGTGGATCTGAAGTGAGATACTGTGTTCCCAGAGTCTGTGTGCTTCACCATTGTACAAACAGAATGGGAGAATGACTATGGTTGCTAGTCGAATGGTATGTCCAATGATGGTAAGATAAAGGAGTTCCTAACTAATAATTCCTATCATGTCCATGAAATCTGAGGCTAGCTATCAGCTAAGAGTATGGTGAAGAAATACAAATTTGAGGAAGAAGGAGCAAATATTAAATGTTAGTTTGGGAGAGTAAAAAAGCCATTGCTTCAAGAAGAGAGATGAAGTAGAATGCTGAGGCAGAGGCAGTGGGAGTGCCCACATAAGAACTGTGGTTATGACTTGAACGTGTGAACAATCAGGAGGTATGTGTTTTCCCCCAGCAAGCTTCCAGGCTCAGGTTCAGGTACTGAGGTAACAGGTACTTGAGTTTAAATACAACTGAAGTTTTGCCAAGTGAGCAGGAAAGTGAGTGAAAGACAAGAAGATGATAGAGGAGTCGAAAGAAGAGAAGTTAGAAGGGAAGAAAGAAGGAAGGAAGGAACGAAGAAAGGAGAAGAAGGAAGGAAGAGAGAGTGGGAGGGAGGGAGGGAAGGAGAGATGGAAGTGAAGTTAAGGGAGCTTGCATGGCAGTAGTTGCAGTGATAAACCAGAAATTCTAAGGTGGATAAGAGGGGGCAGAACATGAAAGAGACATTAAGTATGAGAGAGAGAGAGAGAGAGAGAGAGAGAGAGAGAGAGAGAGAGAGAGACTCAAAATTAAGATTTCACAGGAAGTGAAGACAAAGATAAGGTTATGATCATAAATAAGCATATGGGTCTAAGGTTGGGTGATGAAAAAATTATTGACAAGGCAGTCCAGGAATTGGAAGGCCTAGAATGGGGTCTATTATCTATGTGAATATTTAAGACCCCCCAGAAAAGATGACATTAGTTTGAGTGTTGGGTTGACAGGGAAATGGATGCTAAAGTCATCAACTAATAAAGGAGTGCAACTAATAAAGGATAACAGCACAGATAGATAACAGCAGTAATAAGGAAAATCAGTGGTGAAGTCTAATAACCTAAACTTCAGAGATGCCAAAGGAGCTGGGTTTGAGGAAGGAAGATAAAGATACCGTTTGGGCATTGCAATGGGGAGCAAAAAGGATACCTTAGAAGATTAAAAGATGTCTTAGAGATGCCAGTTAGCAGTTACAATCGCTGCTATGTTTATTATTAAGAAATGCAAGTTTGATTGTTTTACGTGGAGATGTTCTTGAGTTTGTGCATCTCAAAATGGCTATTCAGAACACAATGTTTTATTATCAAAGTTAAGTCTTGAGGGGAGTTGAAGAACAAATTAAATCATGCTTAACCTTTACAGTCAAGGTTCCTAATTATCTTCGATGATTGAATTTTGAAAAAAATAGGCAAGAGACATTTCCAATTATTTGTCCCTTAAGAAAGGCAGCATTTTTCCATTTTTAAAAAAGTCTGAACCATGGTTAGAAAAAAAATAGCAGGAGCTAATATTTATTGAGGGCTTACTATATGCCAGGTACTATTCTGAATACTTTATATATAGTAATTCATTTAATCACTACAACTGTGTGAGTAATGCAATCATACAGCCCAGTTTATCTGGGAAAGTCTTGATTTAGGCCCATTTTTTTCCAGTACCTTGTGTGATTTAAAATTTGTCCTGGATTACTCAT